GCCTGAATGCTGAATAATTGTGGCCCTGTCACCTGTTTACTCCACACTTTCTCAACCACCTCCAAATATCCCTCTAGCTCAGTCCACCTCCCATCAAAAACAAACCTTCGTTTTGGAATCTCAAAGGTACCTCCAGTATCCATCAATATCATACTGTGGTCAGAAGAGAAAAGAGGAATATATTTAATGAGGACATTTAGAGATCTAAGCAGCCAGTTAGGAGAAACCAGAAATCTGTCTAGTTGTTCTTCCACTAAATCAGACCCGCTCCTATTGTTACTCCAAGTGAATGGGTAACCAATAGTCTTAGGTTCCACAGCTCCTATGTCTCTCACCAACCCTCTAAAGCTGTCAAAACTACTTTCCTCTCTAACCACCCCTCCCTTTTTTTCAGTATTATTCAGAATATCATTATAATCCGCTCCCATAAACCAAGACTCCCCCCAACTCATGCTATATCTGACTATGCAGTTCCACTGAGCCCTTCTCTCCAACACATTACTACTAGCATATAAGAACACTTCCCATTGATGATCAACACTACCCTTCCAAGAAAATTTGACTTGCAAACAAAAGTCCAAAGCAATCATATCCAAAATAGTAATGTTATCATTCCAAAACAGCAAAAGCCCTCCTTTAGTCCCTACAGGAGGTTGATAAAACCAGTTATTATTTAATTTCATTTTTTTGCAAACAGTTTCTACAAATTTGTATTTTTTCTTAGTTTCTGATAAACACACAAAATCTGGAAGGTGAAGTCTAATGACTTCTCTGATTTGGGAAATTGTAGAGGGTCCTCTCAGACCTCTACAACACACATACCTTCATTTATCACCTTGGGACCATTTTTGGCTGGTCTCCTCCACCTTGGACTGAGTATCAACATCAAAATTTTGGGTTTTTTACAATCTTTCTGTTGTTCCTGTTCAGGAACTTCAGATAATCTTTTCCTATTCTGATTATTATCAAAAAGAATTATTTTATCCAAACCAGGGTTTTCAATTAACATTTTATCTTGGTTTTCAGAAGATGCAATCCTACTTTTTCTAACAAAAGTTTTCTTTTTCCTATTCAAAACATTTTTCCCAATGGCTGAGGCTTGGATATTAACCTCAATTAGTTGATCATCATCTGGGGGAATTTCTATTATGCCCATAGTCCCACCCTTCTCAATACTAGGTAATTCCACCCCCTCCATCACTATCTCCTTACCCTTCCCCTCTACCATCTCACTAATTCCCTCACCATGCCTTTTCAATTCAACACTGCTATTCTCTCTGCTTTTTTCCACAATAGCATTCTCTCTCACTCTAGAGCTTGGGGATGAAACTAACTTCTAGATTCCCTCACTGTTAGGTTCACTAGATTGATTATCTGAGAATTTGGATTGAAAACTTCTACCCTCACTGATGAAAATAGAGGTAGTTCTCAACCAATCTCCAAATTGACCCCCATTAAACTTATTCCTCAATAAATCATCTTTCTTTGACTGGCAGCTCTTATCAGAGTGCCCAATCAATCCACAGTAAAAACAAAATGATTGGATACCTTCATACCTGAAATCCACCCACCGATTGGTGTCTCCAACTTTGATATTAGTGCCTCTCATGATCGGATCCTTCAGCTTCATTTCAACAAAAATTTTTATCAGGTGACCCTTAACACTTCCCTCTCCAGTTATCACCACATTGTGCACTCGTCCTATCTTTTTCCCAATTTTTGCTCCTGCATCTTCAGAAACCCAATGGAGTGGCAGATTCCATACTTGCACCCATATTTTAATAACCTTCTCCTCCTCGTGGAATTCCAGGTCCTCGGGATCCCATTGTTTCAGAAGAAGATATTGCCCATCGAATGACCACGTCTTACCCTCCATAACTCTGTTTTTGTCTTCCTCCGACTGAAATACAAATTGGAATTTATTGTCTCCCAAATTCCGAACAGAGAAAGGTTGTTTCGTGGCCCATATCCCTGAAAGTGTATGCTTCATTCCGAAGAAATTGATCTTCTTTTCTCCGACACTTTGCCCGATTAGACTTAGCTTGCAATCTCGCAGACCCCGTGCAATATCCCCATCAAGCAATTCGACATTTTCCTCTTCCCTCTCCGACAATTTGATTTTCAGAAGTTTGTCGCTAATATCCTGCTCCATACTTCCAGCTACCCTTCTTGCCACTGGACCAAGAACAAGCCTAACCTAGCGATGATAGACACCCCTGCAACGAGAAACCCTAATAGAAAAAAACTATCGAGAGAACCCAGACACCAAAAGGAACACTACGAAAACACGGACAAACCCTAGAAACCCAAAGGCGAAGAAGGAAAACAAACACAGCTACTAAATTAGAAGAGTCTGAATCCTAGAACTGAGATCTCAGAAGAGAACTACCATCTCCAACGAGAGAACTATAATCCCACACAGG